CCAGGACGAGGCGCATTTCGTCCTATTTGGGACTCGTCCACCAGCTGGATGTATCCGCATTCCCCGGTGAGTGATGATGTTCGCACCGAGGCTCGAACCCAGTGACCATAGTTTCAAACACCAAAGCGTTATCCACTAGACAACTTGGGCCACGAGAGCCACCTCTTGTGCAACGAGTCATACTAATTATTCAACTGAATTTTAGATTTTTCCGTCGACTGATTGGAACGAAGTGCTCGGTCTCAGGTTGACATGTCGGCTTCTTGTGCAGATGCTTCGACAATGCCTGTGCGCGTAATTAGAATTGAATTGGTGGATGGTGACTAACAGTGGAATCCAGGACAAGGCGCATTTCGTCCTGTCTGGGACTCGTCATTCGGATGTACTTGCATTCTCCAGTGAGTGATGATTTTCGTGGGAAAGTAAGTTTTTGAAATTCGCTTAGTTTACTTGTTTTCTAATCGGTCTTAAGCCTGGGAAAAACAGGGAAGATTGGACATGGGGCTAGCAACCCTACGCCAGAAAATCAACTTACAATTACTACAGAAACTTCAAAATATAATTAAAAAACAGCAGCTTAGTATGAACTTACACATTACAACCATTATTATCAACAAATCCATTAGGTAGTGTAAGTGAATGAAACACTCTGAGAACATCACTTCGTCCAACAGGTAAGATAACTCGTGCTTCTGAATGAGCTATACCATCTTCAACACATGAGATACTAGTTTTTTGTTCACCAATATTAATAACACAAGCTGTAGGTAAACCAATCCCATAGGTAGTGCATACACTAGCTTGATGTACAAAAACACGTCCAAATTTTAATCGATTCAATAGCAAGTGTACTAGATAACGTATCTCATTTCTTTTGTATACATCATTGATTACAAGTATTGCTTTATAATTGCTAAGATTTGATCGTTGAATACCAATCTTTACAAACAAACAAACCAAGAAGGAAAACAAAGAAAATAACGGTGAACTCTCCCTGTGCTATAAATATGGATAGATATATAGCTAGTTGTATTCATTACAACTGAGCAATAAAAACAGAAATTCAAGTGTTGGTCTGCAGGGATTTGCTTTGATTGGTCACAGGATTTCATCATGAGCTGGCATCAGTTAGAGAACCAATGGAAAACCTGAAAGTACTCCCAGACAGCTGTTTTGTCGTGGTTTGGGACTTTTCGTCGGTAGACACCTATCAGGGTTCGAACTCAGGAATTTTCGGTTCCATCCAGCCACTGGAACCAGATCAAATGGTTTATGAATTCCAACTTCTGCCAAATCCCAATATAGCGGGACCACTAGCCAATGTCATCGACGAGTACCTGTCCTCACGCCCAACCTGTTGTATCCCAGTGGTTTAATGGTCTACGAGCTCACCTTGTAACTGGAAAGTGCTAGGTTCGAACCCTAATGGTGGGTGCGTATTGGTGGAGAGTCCCGAACTAAGAGGAAACAGCTATCCAGTGGCACAGTGGTTAGGACTCTCGCCGACCATGCACATGGTCCGCGGTTCGATCCCCTGCCGACGCACACCCGATATCTATGGTCGGCCTGCGAAATTTGGGCTACCGATATCCATGCTGAAAATGTCATACTTGAAATGAAAATACGGTGTGGCATCAAGCTGTAATCAAAAATAAAAGAAATAAATAAAAAATAATACTCTCCTACTGGTTTACAATGGTTCTCTAACTGATATCAGCTCATGAAGAGATTCTGTAAAAAATCAGAAATACTTCATGGTTATTAACTATAATGGAGAATATTTGTAGCTCAGATGGATGATTTTGATTTAGTTGTGTTCTCTGAGCTGGTTAATTTAATTGCGGAGACTTCGCTGTCCTTCTAGACAACATCTCCAGCTCAGGTTTCAGTATGAAATGAACTTATTTGAATTCTTTATGAATGATATATTTGAAGACACTAAATTGACAAGAGAAGAATTAGGCAACTTCACTTTACTTTAGGCAACTCTACTTTGAAAGCTTATTAATTGATGATGAAAACTTGAACTAAAAATTGTAATGCTTACATTTTGGATGCGTCAATTTTATAGTATCTCTTCTCTACTACCACTCAAACATTAAAGTATGTTATTATCACCTATATAACCATTGTAATTTCAGGTAGTCTGCAGCTGATGAGAACCTGTGAAATAGAATGATATCATTTTATACTGCAAATTTCGTCTTCCTTTATTAATCGAAACGAAATTTCATTCTTAGATATCTTAATCAAGAGAACTAATACAGGAAATTTAGAAACACGAGTATACAGGAAATCAAAGCGCACAGACCAAATACCCAATTACCCATAGGATTTTGATTTCTGAGTGAAACATGAAGCTTTAACAGCACCTATCCACTTTGTTCTATTTCCTGCAGTCCTTCTGAGTTGGCCCCACGATTGTTCATAAGTTCTCATCTCCTCCTCATGCAATCTCCTTCATGTCACCCTAAGACCAACTCGGCCAACTCGTCGTTTCCCATCCGGGTTTCACCCGAGCGATGTCATTCGACAGTCTTCTTAGTGTATATCCAATCTATCTCCATTTTATGGGGAATATTTGTTCAGCAATAGATTCTTAGTCGGTTTGTTGCTAATTCTTTCTGACTGGCCATCTAATCTTCAGTATGGAGTCAGCGAAGACAGGTGTTGGTAAAAGTCTTCAGTTGCCTGTTGGAAATGCTTTTCGTGATGTTGGCACCAATTTTTTATGACTCACATAGAAGAACTGACCTAACATTGGTATGAAAAATGAGAATTTGGTTGTTTACGCCGTCTGAGTGCAGAAGATTTCCAAACTGATTTCAGGCTGATGAAGATGTACCTTGCGCCTTTTTGATTATCGCCTTGACATCTTCATCCGTGCTGTTCGACTGCCTGTAGTTGAAACGATGCTTCCTAGATAAGTGAAGGAAGTAACCTCTTCCAAATTTTTTCCAATGATAGTGGTTAGTGCTGGTGGTTGTTTTTGGTGCGTGAGTATCTTCATCACCTCCGTCTTCTCTATGTTCACCTTAATTCCTGTCTCTTCAGACAGTTTTTTTTGGTTTTCACCTGCAAATCTTCGAGTTTGTATGACATTAGACATAAATCATCCACACGTGAAATCCATATATTGCATGGAGGATTTCATCATGAGCTGACATCAGTTAGAGAACCACTGAAAAACCTGGGAGTACTGCCAGATAGCTGTTTCGTCCTAGTTTGGGACTCTTCATCAGCACTCGCCCACCGGGTTCGTACCCACGACCTTCTGGTTACAAGGCCAGCGAGCTCGTAGACCATTGAGCCACTGGGACCCGATCCAATGGCCAGTCCATGAATTCTAACTTCTGCCAATTCACGACATAGCGTAACCACTTCGCAATGTCTTCTTCGATGAGTTACTGCCTCATCTTCAACCTACTGTACCCTGCTGGTCATGGCTTCCCACTAGAACCGCAGGTAACAACCTGCCTGAATAGGGCCAGTCGCTAGTGAGCATCAGATTAATTTTCAAGTATTGGTTTTATAGGGATTTTTGTTCTGATGTCAGCTCATGATGAAATCCTCCATGCAATCAAACAAAAATCCCTACAAAACCAATACTTGAAAATCTATATATAACACATGAAATAAAAAAGAGCATTTTTTGTGAATACCAAAATTCATGACATAAAAAAAAATCAATAAATGATTCAATGCACCTACATACATGTTTTTCTATAGCTGTAGACCAAATATCTTCTAAATCTTGCAGGATAGCTGTATAATTCGCTGCCGGTGAAAAGAATCCATAACGTATAGGCCAAGTAATATGATAACCATTTTTTAAACCATAAGTAAAAGCATCATTCAGTGCATAGAAATCTTGATCTGGCGGTGTTTGTTTCTCCCATTCAAAAAGAAGTTTGCCATCTTCTAAATCATCTTTGAGATCTTGTTTATGAGATAGATGAATGCTAACAGACGATTGAGTTGTAGTTTCTTCTGAAGATGATGTTGGCGGTGATGCTGAGTAATTCAAATTAAATAATGTATTCACATATGATTGTATTGTTTGAATCGATTGTTGCAATTTAAATGATTGACAATTTAATTTATGTCGATTAATGATAGGTTCAATATGCGGTGAAATACTGGGCTTCGGTTTACGTGCTATACAATGTGGAAAACGTTTTGGTGTAGAGTCAACAGCTCGACTAATACGTAAATGAAATGAACTCGGTTCAATGATGATAACACTATCCGCTAGAGTTGGTTGATTTCGCATTGTACAGAAGAGAAGAGAGTGCTACAAAAATGAATTAAATTAAACAACTCATTAATAATAATGATACTAATAATTTTCTATAGTTTGGTTTGCAAGGGTTAGTTTTGCTTTTACGAGTTGATCACGGATTGATATCAGTTAGAGAACCATTGAAAACCAGCCAGAGAGTACTGGAAAGCTGTTTTATCCACCTAGTTTTGGGAATCATCGGCAGTACGCACCCACTCGGGTGGCACTAAATCACGAATTGGTAGAAGTTAGAATTCATGGACTGGCCATTGAATCGGGTCCCAGTGGTTGAATGGTATACGAGCCAGCTTGCCTTGTAACCACCGGAAGGTCCTGTTTTCGAACCCTGGTGGTGGTGGGTGAGTACTTTCGATGATTCCCAAAAAAATAGGATGAAACAACTGTCCAGCACTGCAATGCTGGTTTTCAATGGTTCTCTAACTCATATCAATCCGTGATCAACTCGTAAAAATAATAATAAAAATAACAATGGCATAATGACCACAAAATAATCTGGAGTGGTCAGTACCTAAACTTCAACAGCTTGTCCCATCAGCAGAAAAGCTTTGCTCCGAAGAAACACTAGAAGGTGAAATTAATCTCATTAATGAATGTTAACGGGACACTGGATATCCTAAGCGATTCTTAGAGAAACATAACAAGTGCGACATGAAGATGGCAGAAGAGTATAGTACTGTCGAGAAGAAACCAGTATTCCTTACATTAGAATTCAAAGGTGATCAAGTTTAAGGAAAGAATTGTCAGACAAGCAAAAGATGCAATATCAACGAGGTGTCTAGCTGTCAAACTGGTCCCCCCGTAGAAAACTACTTGTTCAAACACACACAATCCAAAGTGGACCATTATCCGACTCTCGTTAACTCCAACCGTGTTGGTGAATTCACCTATACATGAGTTAGCAAGTACTTTGGAAGAACTGAGAAACGGTTATCGACAAGGATTGTTCAATATGTACCTCAAAGTCTACGCCTTAGAGGCTCAATAGCATTTAACAGAGCCATAACTCGGCACCTGGCTGATACAGGACACCAAATGAAAGTAGGAGAACTGAACAGACGAAACACTATAAGAGTACTTCAAATTGCTGAAGCTCTGACCATTCGGAGAGTGAGGCCCGAATTATGAATGCAAAATGAGACTATTACTAACTTATTGCTAACTTAGTAACCACTGACTTTCACACTTTAACTTGTTGAAACTTTATTTTACTTTATTTATTTTTTTGTGTGCGACATCTGTTTCCTTGCAAATTCTTGGTATCTTTGTGTCCTTGACCTCTTTCGCTTCGGTTGAATAACTTAGCATGTGACTATGTAACTGTCTGCGGTTATACGTGAATTACCCTAAAGATTTCAGAATATTTTTCTATGTACAATACGCATAGTGTTTCTGTTTTAGTTATAATTCACTATTCTAATTTGCTCGTATACTTTGTACCTTGTCTCCATTTATTCGGCATGTCCCGACCGAAAGCTGCTACCTTGACGTGGTGGTCGGGCTTGCATATCGCAATGACCCAACGAGCTACACTGGCTGGAACTTAAGTTCCTGTAGGTCCTACCATGCCAGAAAGGTTGTTTGGATAGCGGTTAGACAAAAAGCAGCTACCCAATCCAATGCCATGACCCAAACAAAAACACAAAATATCATGCCGGATCGGTCGGGACCCGGATTAACAACGACCGCGCTTCCTGCTGCCGTGTCACAGGGCAGAAGTGATAAATACGCTACTGAGACACACCAAATAAAAAAGAACAAACAAAAACAGGCCGCGTGTGACCGGCCTCAAGCAGTTGTCCCCTGGGCTCTGCGGTCACGCAACCAACTTCCACGGTGTGGGCAGCCGGGAAGTAACAATCGCCCTCACACTCCACAGTGCACGCAAAACCTCTCTATTCCTCACTCATCTTTGTATTCATCTTCATCTCTATTATCTTGCCTTCCTTCTACCAATGCAACTCCTCTACTTGATGGCCCTTCACTTCCTCTTCAATCTGTGTGCACTGATAACGATGGAAGCCAAAAAGCCACCATCGTTAGTCTCCTATTCGGCATGTTGCTATTCTACTCTCTTATAGAATGAACTGACTATTCACAGTTACAGTACGCTTAAATTACTTCGTATTTATTGCTTTTGTAGTTCCAGGTTAGATCACGAATTGATATCAGTTAGAGAACCATTGAAAACCACCACTGGAGTACTGGAAAGCTGTTTCATCCTAGTTTTTTAGGGAATCATCGGCAGTACACGCACCCACCACAGTGGGGTTCGAAAACAGGACCTTCCGGTTACAAAGCAAGCTGGCTCGTATACCATTCAGCCACTGGGACCCGATTCAATGGCCAGCTCATGAATTCTAACTTCTACCAATTCGTGATGCATTAAGCGCGACCACCAACCAATGTCATCGGCGGGAACTTCATCCTCACTCCCGACTGGATGGACCCCACTGATCCACTAGAACTCCAGGCAACTTCGTCCTGTAGCCAGTCACTAGCAAGCATCAGATTAATTTTCAAGAATTGGTGGTTTGTAGGGATTCTATTTGTTCCAGGTTATAGTTTATTATTCAGGTGGCATAGCGGTTAGGACGCTCTCAAACCATGCACATGGTCCAGGGTTCGATCCCCGGCCACCGACGCACTTCTTTATCTTGTTAAGCCAGAAATAAGGTTGGTAAAGAGGAAAGGTTGGGCATGAGGCTAGCAACTCCATCCTGTCAAAGCAAACATACCACACTGGTACAGAAACTTTAAGCCACTAGCTTGAAGCCCTATGTTCCACTGGGAACGTAAAGGAGTAAAAAGAAAAAATTCAGGTGGCACGCAGCTGATGCAAATCCTAAGAAATGAAGTGAATTCATATTGTCCTGAGAAAGGTCTTCTTATCGCATGATTCAACTTTGTCTAGGGCACTTAATTGTTTGAAATAATAGTGGTTTTACTGCAAACAATACTTTTCATGCAAACATGGAATTCTCATCATACAATACAATATTAATTCTAATTTTCTTGTTACACAATACATGGGGAAGTAATTAAACAGGGCGTATACGGTGATAATATTGTTCAGTAAAAATAGAAATATAAAATTAAAGTGGAAATATTAACCAGAATATAATAATAATGAGAGAGAAAGAATAAAAAGGGCTTTTTACTTAGTAAGTGATTAGTATCATGTCTTACACTTTTCTCATCACATAAAATGTGTGCCTAACGTGGTATTGTTAAAGTCTCTATACTTAGTCGCCCGCGCATTAAAGTCTTCTATAGTTGCTTCTAGTCCTGCCTGATGAGATGAAGGGAGAGAGTTGAGCATAGGCAGGATGCTCAGGATTCAACAAGATAATAATAGCTAATTGTGTCTATCTACAACAATATTAACAATGAAGCAACATACTAGTATGATGAGTTGAAATTCTCGATAGGAAGAGGCTGGAACACACTTAAATTGGAAATTTAAACTAATTGGTCGAGATTGAAGTGTTTATTATACTGCAGTTGGACAATCTTGAAGCCCAAACTTAGGCAATCAATAAAATTAATTACTTATTGGCTTGATTTCCCGAGATTGTTAACATTTCTATATAATAAGATTGACTGTTCTTATAGGGGCTTGGGTCAGACTTTATTGCCGTGAACTTTGGGGGTCAGAAGTAACTGGAACTTAGCATTCGGTATTTGGTCTTCAGGCGAGTTACTTATTCCCTTCCTATATTGAAGCCTAGTCTCAGGATTACTAATGGTACAGGTCATATAAACATATCAATTCGGGTGAAATTATAGAGTCTAAACACCAATACCCTTATCGTCTACATATCAAATTTATGAATTGTGATCGTGATGTACAAATTGCTGATCGATGAGTAATTTCAAGGTGTTCAGGTCAACCAGTAGTACTTATTAGTCTCTGATGAGCCTAGCCTTAAACAAGTAAGACGGCCGTCCAGTATTGAAACAACTTCCATGTGTCTAGCAAGCATTACTGACTGCTGTGAGTGGTTTTCAACTACTTGCATCAATTATGTTTGCTTTCTTAATTACTTATCATGGTCATATTTATTGTATGGATGTTTATGGTCTCTAAAGGAGACTGTGGTTAATTTTCCCATTGAACTGTGCACGAGTAACCATCACCATTCTTGACGAGCAATGTTAGTTGACATAGGATCAGGTCGGAAAGGAGTTGGGGGTGGTCAAACCAAAACTTAGAATCAGTCCATGAAATATTTAACAGTTAGTTTGAGCCAGTCACGTAGAGAGGTGCAGACTTCCTGATTGGGGTCCTCAGGATTCTAAGAACCAATGGCTGGGAAATATTGGTGGTATTGGCTGAAAATCATTCTTAATGGCGTAGATGAATTCACTGCCTGTGATTTGCCACATCCATTAAGCCCTAATGTTTCTCCATGTTGCTATTATATTTACATCATATTTCTGTTTATTATGTTCACTTTGAATCTCTTCTTTTCCTTCTTTTGTCCTTCTTTGTGTGGTACATGGATTGTGGCAAGTCGAACTACTGCACTTCTGTGCAATGTTCTATGCTGAAACCAGTCAGTCAGTCAGATACTTTTCACGACTCGATTACATACTTACATTCCCCTGCAACTAATTTACTATAGCAAGAAGTTGGAGTATATGTTTGATGTTGGATTCTCATGGAGTTCTGAATATGCGTTTCATCTTATTAGAGAATCATTAGCTGGCGATAGTTGCACTTTACTCGCCCCCCTCTCGAACCCAGTAAACATCAACTTAAATGCTAAAAGACTCCATAGAACTTAGTAGGATACATAAATATCCAGTTAATTTTCAAATGCAATGCAACAACACATACACCACTGACTCCACTAACAACTAACAAATAGCATCAAAATCAAACCCTCGGACAAATACATTATCACAATACCTTTAATAATACCAGTTATATATAATCCCCATTATTTACAATAATGAGAGGAAACAGT